CGGGGGGTCCCGGGAAGGGGGTCCCGTGGGTTTTGGGGGTCGGGGGTCTCGGGGGGTCCCGTTTTGGGGGGTCTTTCCCCCCCCATCTCACCCGCCAGGACGAGCCGCTCCATCGCCCTTTCGCTTTCGCTTCCCGGCCACGCCCCTTCCCTGATGGCCACGCCCTCTCTCCCTTTAGCCACGCCTCCTTCCCCTCGAAACCACGCCCCTCCCCTTTAAACACGCCCCTTCTCGCGAAGCCACGCCCCCTCCCCAATAACCGCGAGTCATTCTCACGAAACCACGCCCCCTCCGTCTTTAACCACGCCCCTTCTCCCTTAGCCACGCCCTCAGGGACCACGGTCACGCCCCCCAGTGTCACCAGTGACCCCCTCCAGTGTCACCAGTGGGGTCTGGGACCCCTCCCAGTGTCACCAGTGACCCCTCCCAGTGCCACCAGTGGGGTCCAGTGTCACCAGTGACCCCTCCCAGTGTCACCAGTGTCACCAGTGACCCCTCCCAGTGTCACCACTGACCCCCTCAGGGTCACCAGTGACCCTCCCAGTGTCACCAGTGACCCCGCCCAGTGTCACCTTTAACCCCCTCCAGTGTCACCAGTGTCGCTTTTAATCCCGCCCAGTGTCACCAGTGACCCCCCCCAGTATCACCAGTGACCCCTCCCAGTGTCACCATTACCACCAGTGACCCTCCCAGTGTCACCAGTGACCCCTCCCAGTGTCACCAGTATCACCAGTGACCCTCCCAGTGTCACCAGTGTCACTTTTAGTCCCACCCAGTGTCACCAGTGTGGTCCAGTGTCACCAGTGACCCCGCCCAGTGTCACCAGTGGGGTCTGGGACCCCTCCCAGTGTCACCAGTGACCCTCCCAGTGCCACCAGTGTCACCAGTGATCCCTCCCAGTGTCACCAGTGGGGTCTGTGACCATCCCAGTGTCACCAGTGACCCCCGCAGTGTCACCAGTGTCACCAGTGACCCCTCCCAGTGTCACCAGTGGGGTCTGGGACCCCTCCCAGTGTCACCAGTGACCCCTCCCAGTGTCATCAGTGACCCCCCCAGTGTCACCAGTAGTGTCCAGTGTCACCAGTGACCCCTCCCAGTGTCACCAGTGGGGTCTGTGACCCCTCCCAGTGTCACCACTGACCCCCCCAGTGTCACCAGTGGGGTCCAGTGTCACCAGTGACTCCTCCCAGTGTCACCAGTAGGGAAAAAAAAGCCACTACGAGGCAAACCCATCATTTCCAGTGGGATTTAACCCAATTTAATGGGATTTTAACCCAATTTAAGGGGG